ATCTTATCCCTTTCAATATTCAATCATTTTTCAGCTTCATTAAAGCCTTCCATTTTCCTCATTTTGTCGGTCTGCTTAAAGTCTTAAACAACAACTTACGGTTACTTTTCCATGAATTAATTAACAGTTCATATAATTTTTAGTTCCTTAGATTTGCATGAATTATTGATTTTACTCCATTAAGTTCTAAATCATGAGTTTTGGCCCTTCAATGAGCAAAATGGTACAAGTTTTTATTAAATTATAGGAACTAACATAGATGGAGAGAAATTAGCAACAAAACCTATAATTTGAAATTTAAAGGACCAAAACCAAAATGAGGATAAATTTAAGAAATCAAAAATTGTATTAACCCATTAATTAAGTAAGCTATTCTATTATTTTAGAAGATTTGCCTAGCTAGGAGATTTTGGTCTATGCGAGATAGGGGTGGTAATACGGGCTAACCCGTGGGTTGCAGGTTGACCTGTGACAGTTTAAGGTTAGACGGTGCGGGTTAAAAAGTCTTGTGTAATGGGAGGTTAGCTTTTAGCCAACCCTAACCCACCATGGTGAGTTGACGGCTTGGCCTGCCAACCCGCCAACTATTATTTTCTTCTTCTTTTTTTTTAATTTTTTTTAATTTTTTAAATATTTTTCCTTATACAATATAAAAAATATAATAAAATTTTTATCTTTCCTTCAAATACTTAATTAAAAACACCAAATAAATAAATAAATGGTATAAGTATTTTTTTATTTTTTAGATAAAATATAAAATATAATTAATAATATACATATAATGATTAATAAAATTTAAAAAATACAAAAAAAAAATAAATACAGATTAGCCCGCCAATCAGGTTGTGGATTAATGGTACGGTTGAAAAGCTTTGTTTACTAGTAATTAACTTTTAGCCAACCCTAACCTATCATTTTTAGTAGCTTGATGGGTTCAACTTATATTAGCTTTAGAACTCATTCTTTCTCTTTCATCCTCTTTAACAGAATTTGGCATGTCTATGAATAGGAAAAGCTGTCATAATTTTGCTTCTTTTCAGTATCTAAAATATCAGCTATTTAAATAGTAACTGGATGCACCACGCACGCATGATACTAAGTTAATGAGTCGCACTCCTCAAACTTGTACATAATACATCTTGATATATACGCAATTATAATTTTATATATGATCCTTTTTATCTTAAATTTAATTAATATATATATATGCATCCTAGAGCATCTAATTAAACCCATAAATATTACATTGGCAAGTAATATTAATATAGGGATACACCTACGCAGCATTCTTAAAAAAATTGATACTTTCGAACTCGAAGATGTGAACCTGATAGACTAAAACATGTCTCATAGCACGCAACATTTGGATATAACAACTATATGCCAACTATATTCCTTCAGTTTCGTAAGGGAAGGAACTCAAAAAACTGATTGGAAGTGATTTCAGAGTCCATGGAAGCATTGAAGGAACAGAATTTCTCTTTCCTTCTTTCAGTGACACAAAGGCCCTCATCTTCATCTGATCGCTCAAGAGGAAACAGCTCAAGGGTTCTGTCATCTGCAACTTCTTCTTCTTCTTCAGCAGAACGATCATAATTTGTAGGGTTTGAATTTTGTGTATGATGAGTTGTAGTTGAAGTGGTAATGCTTTTGATGAGATGCTTGGAATTTGAAAGGAAGCAAGACATATCTCCAATTTGGCACTTAGCTTCTTGGCTTTTCTCTCTCTTGATTCTCAAAATCCGTGTCTCTCTCTCCTCCCTTTGAGTCCTTCTATAAGCTCCTCTTTCTGCTCTATTCAGCGGATCAGAGACCTGCAAATTTCAGATGGTGTTGAGATTCATAATATGAATTGTAGCTAATAGTGGTGTGGGACTATTTTTGGGTTGAAGGATTAAATCTTGATTATTAGTACTAACAAGTAACAACATAAAAAATTAATTAAAATCTTAATAGATTGGGAATATTTAAGACTGATATTATACTGCTTAATCTATTCAGTCCAACGATTTGTATATGAAATAGCTTAGATAGATATATAATGACAAATGAAAATTAATCTTCTGCATCTTAAAATATATTGGAAAGTGATATGAAGTATGCAAGGTTGAAATCTCTTCAATTTATGCTTCTCTAACTGCACAATCTGCAATAATCAAAGAATGTATTTGTTATTTAAACCGTATTGTTAGTTTCTAAACAAATTTATAAAATCTCATGTTTGCTTTGGAAAAAAAGAACATCAAAGGTGTATCTATTGAATATTTTGAACTAACTAATAATCATAAATAAACGCGTATGCAAAGTGTAAACATGTGTATAATACATTTTTTTGACAAGAAAGGGAGGATTCACTTACATATAATTTACATGTGTCATAAATAATACCCATGTGGTTTAACTCTTAATTTATGCATGATAGATGGAGACCAAACCTAGTTTACCCAGAATCTCTTTTACTGTATTTCTTGCTTTTTCATATTCCTAAAATGTGCTTTGTGGCCTGACATTTTTCATTGACTTTGGGAAGCAAATAATTGGATGCTATTATTATCGTCCTTTAGAATCGATTTTAGGGCATCTCTCTCTCTCTCTCTATATATATATATTTTTTGCCAACCTATATATATGTTTGTATATATATGAGTAATATATGGCTATCTATATATGTACCAAACACAAAGCCAAAAGATAATATGTACAGTACAGACCTCTGCAAGTGCACTGCAGTTTGAAGAAGATGACCACTTCTTTGTCTCTTTAACTTCATAACTTGTCCCTCTCAATCCTGAACACAATGTCCAGACAAATCAAATCTCTACTTCAAATCTTTCCTCCCACAAAATCTAATCATTAAAATATTTATATGTAACACTATAATATCTCTCTCTCTCCGTATAAAGTTGCAGCATCAGGGTTTCAGTGAACTGATATCTTAAACTTACACTACTCATCAACTTTAACGCAATCTTGTAAACTAAACTCATCACTAGGACAATTAAAAGCTTATGTATATATGCCTAACTAACTGTTATACCTTGAAGAACGTGTAGGGGTGATAGGTTTTGTGAGGTTAATCCCATAGCGCACATATGATGATCTTTTTCTTGCAGAGCAGAAGGAGAAGAAGGGGGAGGAGAGATTTCCATGTCGGCGCAACGACGACGTTTCTGGCGCTCTCTTGCTTTGTGGTTCTGGAACCAGTAGAAGACATTCTTGGCTTCGATCTTGCCAAAACGACGTAGCTGCGAAGCTATTACCTGGATTTGTTGAGCCGTTGGCGTCTTAGTTCCTTGTCTGTAAACTTGCTCAAGGTATAGCAGTTGCGCAGGTGTTGGACTCCACCTTGATGAGCTGCTTGTAATACCTGCTTCTTCTCCAACGTAACCTGTAATTAATTACGTGGTTGGATCGACAAGAACCAAAAGAGAAATGAAATGAGAAAGATCAATACATACTATTAACGTAAGAAAGAGTCCATAAAAAGAAGTTAGGAATTTAAGAAAGAAAAAGTGAGGTTTTACCGAGATGGTAAATATTGAAGGAGAAAAGATTGGTACAGTGGGCACAGAGAGAATAAGGATTATTTGGAGTTATTTCTGGAGCTGATGATGGAGAAATAATGGTGGGATTTGGAGTGCAGTAAGAGTGAAGCTTGAATGCACCGAGTGAATCAGACATACTGAAAAATATGATCAGCACTTTCAAGCTTTGATTATATAGTTGAGGAAAATGGGTCAGTGAATCAGAGGTTTGGGGTTTGAAGCTTGAGGAGGAAGTAGTGTGTAATAGAGAGAGGCTTATGGTAAGGAGGAACAAGCCACATGCGTACATATATATATATATATATAGAGAGAGAGAGAGAGAGAGAGAGAGAGTTAATTGATTAGTTGACTATTGTATCCCATTAAAAATCAGCGGGAGAGAAGTATAGGTGATGAATTTTGTGTTTGGAGAAGTCGTTATATTTTACTTAAAATAGATGCATCGTCTTAACCTGGATAGGTTCCATATATCAAGTATGTGCGTATGTGTATACAAAATTTTAGGAGGAAGATCGAATCAGTAATAGACATGTGAAATATATATACCGGCCTACATGTAGAGAAAGAAAGAAAACAGAAAAAAAAAGAAGGTATAATTGTATTTTTTAATTTTTGTCCAATAAAAAAGAACGTATTTTTCTGAGATCAACGAATGCAGCAAAAGCTACTTAAATATTGTTCATTAACAGTGCCTTCAGCATCGTATATCAAGGCTTTCACAGTTCGTTTTCTTCATTGAAAGCTACTCTCTCCAGATATGACACCTCACACTAATAGGAGCTGGGTCTAGCAGAAGGAGTTAGTCCCTCACAATGTGGCAAACTAAAGTTTAAATCCGTGCTCGGAGAAGTGCTCACATTTAATGCTTGACAATGCCTCAAATAGGATTACTTCTAATAGAATGATACATATATTTTAGCCAAAAAAAATGACACCTAACTCTCTCTCTCTATATATATTATACATTGACACAGTACAATATTACTATATATGCACACTAGACACTGCGTGTGGTGAATAGCTTGATAGCGACTTCTAACGGCAAAAGCTTTTGAATGAAGGGAATCAAAAAGCTGATAACTGGTACATAGCCCTATAAAGAGTTTAGAGTCATGCGTGAAGATCACTAGCTTAACGCTGTTTTCGTCTCTATATGATTATTAGTTGGTTTAACAACAAACTTAATTCACTAGCTCCTTCATTCATACTGTTACTAACACAATGCATTTGATTCTACAAGGATTTGAAGCCTTGTGATTAAAAAGTTGTTTTTAAAGTCCTAAAACATTAGAATTGTATTGTGTTTCTCCCTTCTTCCTCATCGTTTCATATCATACTTTTCTTTTAACTGTTTTGAACAACTAACTTTCTTGTCTGGATGTTTCAAATAAATAAAGAATAGTGTCCAGCACAAACTATCCCAGTGATAACGTGAAAAAGAATATCACAAGAATATAAACATCCATGAAAGTATCATAAATTTAAAAATAATTAAAACATATAATTTAAACTTGTCCCTTTAAGGGAGAAGATTCGATAGTCTCAAAAGTTACAATACAACATCATAAACTCATCAATAAGATTACAATAAAGGATAACAAAACTACATCTGATCGTTGATGAATGTGGAGGATCTAATAATCTAATACAAATGCCCTTTCTAATCCAAGCGCATCATAACGGTTATATCGACAAATATTGTTGATGAATGTTTCATAAGCTGCATGATTGGCAGCTTTCTATTCCAGAAGCTTGTTGCAGGTACCTACACCCAGAGCTGCAGCAAGATGCCAAGCAGCATGAAGGTATGGAGTTTCGGGATATAGATCGTCGGCTATGAAAAGCACACCACCCAGCAACGATGACATCTTATGCACATTGTGGGCTATCCTCAGGTCCGGATCTTTCACTGCCCTTTTAGCAAATGCTACCTGCATAAAATTCATTCTCTTTATAGAGTAACAAGGCCTATATATATATATATATATATATATATATATATATCAGGAATACTCTATTCTTCTCTAGATGGAAAGACACAGACAGATGGACGTCTTTTCATTTTTATCCTTCACAAAACACTTGATTCAGTTTATTCCTTCAATCATTAAAATACTTCCAATATTGTCCTACCATCCTATTTTCATTTAAAAACTAACAGGTTTATTTATATATATAGTGGAATAATATCATCTTTGCCTCCTCTTGTTTTTCGACATACCTCAGGGAAAGAGGGGAGAGAATGGGTGATGGAGTGATGATGAAGTGATGAAACGTGGAGCTTTTTTGGGACCTAGTCAGCAGCATCTTTTGCCGTATAGGATTATGGGGTGATGACTCAAAGGTGAGCTAGTTATGTTAAGGATTGATTTATTAAATGAGAAAAGATTAAGGACTGAGTTATAACCGAGTTAAAAGCTGAGAGACTGAGTCATGACTAAGTTAAAAGTTAGAGGACAAAAAAATTAATTTTCTCTAAAATTTTCATACAACTCTATCCTCTTGTTCAAAGAGAGGGTCGGGCTGCCAAGTTGGCCCTAGGGCCAACCCCAATCAAGCCACAAATTTGTTGGCCCTGTTTATATTAAGCTCAATATGACCAAGTTCCCGGCCCCATCTAGACCCCCAGCAAAAATCAAACGACAGTGATTAGAAGTTTCAACCCCAGAAAAAAAAACCCAAAAAGAAAAGGCAAAATCTTGAAACCAAGTGCAACTTGATTCTAGCTTGAAATGTCATACGTGATTAGCAGTTAAATCATAATCAAGTTTGTATTTGGATTGGACTGTAATTAGATCATGTAATTTGGACCAGACCATTAAAAGGTCCAAAATTCAGGTCAGAGGTTTCACTAGGCCTTTATGTTCTTTTAGAGCAACCAGTGTTGTATTACTTGTAAAAGGTAATGGAACCAAATTGTCATAAATCAAGATCAAAGGAAGGGATAAGAAATGAATTACCTCCATCATCCCAGTGTGAACAAGTGAAACCATCAATGGTTGAACAGGAAGAAAAACAGCAGTTGCCGCCATCAGCATCTTTGGATTCTCATTTCTCAGGGCCCTTGACAGACACTGTAGAAAGATTTCATTGTCAAAAGTGATTCAGTGACTGGGCAACCTGAAGTAATCTTCAATTTGGCAATCTAAAATACTGCAAAAGGGGTTGTGGTGATGAAAATGTCGGGAAGGCATTTCAGATTGTGTCATATGCATGCCCACATCAGAAATAAAGGTGTATAGAAAATATTTATTGACTGATGTCATAATAATCATTATATTTGCCACGCCTGCACAACAATATGAAATAATAATTAAATATGCTGAATGCAATACATGCACAAGAACATGCTTCAACATTCAAGAGGAAATAAAAGTAACTTTGCCAACAGGCATCCCCTAGTGGCACTGGAACTGTTTCTGAAGACATCCCAGGTTAAGATGGAAATCCCAAAAGTAAAACCAGAAGTTAAAAGTGATCTTTTACGTGTATAAGCAGCATAACAAAAGAGAAAAAGACAAGAATGCCTTGTAATGACACCATGTTAAATTATTGTCTCACAAATGATTAGTTAGCGGAAAAAAATAGAGCAAGTCCTCTCTTAAATTATAGGAGTAAACCATGTTGGTCAGGATCGCTAGTTAGATTCTGAGGTCTTATGACACCACCTCCCAAAACCCAGGATTGTGGAAGGACTATGATCAAACTTGTAAGATTCTTGGATCAAGCAATGCTACTTTTATTTTGGCATTTTATGAGTTGGGTTTGCATATGATTTATTTTCCTTTACTTTTGCAAATTTTGACTTGTATTCTTGAGGTATGATGAGATTTTCTTAGTTTTATGCTTATCTAAAAAATCTGCAAATATGTTCATATTTTTTTCCCTCGAGCAGTAGGGTCTCACCATCATTGATCTGATCCTACAATTCAATCTTTTATGCTTCAGCTGATCTGATTTACCATCTCAATCTTAACAACCTTGAGAGCACCTTTCCTTTCCTCATCACGACAAAAACAACTCAGGCCTGTGGTGGCTCTCATGGCTCATTAAGTTAAACATGAACAACAAAGTCTTATAGCAGATATATTTCTTTCCTAAGTTAATGGGTTAGAAATGTAAGTACATAAATTATTGCTTATAAGCGGTGAAATGGATAAGCTGTCAAGTATCACATGATAAGTTCTTAAAACCAAAAGTTGAAACAAGCCAACCAAGAATATCTTAATTGCATTGTTAAGATCGAGTGATTAATGATATGAAGATAAAGATAAATTTTACATTTCTGTGTTAGTCATTTAAACTTAAAGATTATTATTCAACCTCCCAGTAGTTAGCTTAGCCTAGTATTCACTTAACCAATTTGTGCCTTTGTGGCGTTTTTTGTCCCAGTTTTAATGAAAATAATCAAGCAGATTAATGATCAGTATTAACCACTGCCCGATGAAGAGATTAATAGACAATGGCTGCTAGGTTGATTATCCTATTTTCGATAGATCCTTCATATAATCCTTACTCAGAATACAGCACAGAAAATATCAAGAAATATGACATTGGCCAAAAAAAAGCTGGAAAAAAAAAACTTGGTGCCATTTAGATAGGGCTTTCCGCATGATGGAAATGGTGAAAAAAATTAACAATCAAGGATGAATTGCTTCTTTAAAAGTTATAGAAAGAAACTGACTTTCTGAGTTAAAAGTGAGTCCCCCTTAAATTGAGAAGCAAGTGAATTAATTCGCTAAACATAGCTATATTTGAAAATCAAATCTAACAGCACCTCTGAACAGTGTCCAGAAAAGAGACTATACTATGGGCTACTAAAACCTTTTTAGTGAACTTCCATATATCACTTGCATAATCCTAATTCACATTTATGCAGAGGAACACACACACAAACACACACATATATATAAGATGGAGAAAACACGACATTGTCCAGCTTCAGGTTTTTGCATGTTCGAGGCAATAAAAATGTAGCGAAACGGCATTTCTCAGCTATATATGTGTGACTTACAACGGTTGCTGTTGCTATCATTGTGTAGTCAACCCATCTCAAGAATTTTCTCAACTTTCCCCTTGAACAATGGTACATGCTTGAGGCCACTCCAACTCCAATCAATGAATTAGCATACATTTTGGAATTAAGATTCCTCCTACATTTGGAGATACATAATGACTAATTACTCATAAGATATGTAAGATGATTTCCAAGTCTAGAAGGACAATAAGCTTAGAGGAGAATACTACCTAGGGGCATTAAATCCTAGAGCTATAAAAGGAAGTGAAGTGACCACGTTAGCAACTCTTTCAGCAAGATGATTATCACCTGATGAAAGGAATCAACATTGGAACAAACACATCATTTATTATTGAGATTGGAAAGGTTTCTGGACAAAAATTACAGAAACTCAAACCACAAGAAAATATCTCAGTAGTACCATTGGTGCAACAGTTGATGGGTCTCAAGCAAGCTGGTCTTTGCTGCCACGCCTGTCTGGAGAACACATAGGTAGGTAGCACGTTATTTTGCATGTTTTGCAAAGCTTGACTGCCACAAATATTGACTATCACTTAAAATGGTAATTTGTTAAATGATTGGTAATATTCCACTCACTGCAATGACAGAAGATGATTTGAACCAAAAAATGAAGCTCCATAAGCTGATGACTGAAATTTCCCATTTTGATCAGTCTCTGTCAATGAAAATGGAGAATGAGGATCCACATGGACCCCATGCACACCATGTAGAGCTCGAGCTCTATTATATTTCAATGCAGTCGTAGGGCACATATGCACACCTACAATAATGCAGGTTAATTTCTGCACCAGCAAGAATTTGCTGGTACAAGTTTGATGTTGGAAGGAGATTGCTGGATGCAAGCCAATAGCTCTGCAGTAGAACAAAATATCATCATTAGTATTTACAATGTCCTATGGTTTCTAGAAAACCCAATCTTAAAGTTATGAACAAAAGGCACACAACTAACAATTTATAGATAATGTATATTTCAAATCATTAGACCTATCCAAAACTAGGTCGACTTAGTCTAGCCCAAAAAGTGCCATGACTTATTTAGAAAACGTAATTTGTGATTCATAGGGTGAATGGGCTAGCATTTATTTATTGATTTTCTCATGTAACTAACTGAAATTTGGAAAACCCACTCCCCCTCCCTCTCTTTTAATCTAGTTTCAACGAAAGGGCCTGGTCCAGAATCTCCAAATGAGCATTATCCATGGGAAGTTGAAGCTCATAAGTACTTATAAAAGCCAGAAACGAAACTGAAACTAGTGACATGATGTAAGCATAGGGAATAAGACAATTAGATCGATACCGTTCAGACTTCTTTTTTTTTTTTTTTGGGTGACAGTGCAACACAATCAGGTAGGGACTATATATACGAAGTTATTGCAATAATTTAGCTCTTCGAGCATATTCATTAAACATAAGCAGTTTAAAACACACTAAAACACCAATTTGAAACTACTGAAAGATGTTGCGAGCTAAACAATTATTCCTGCTTAATGCATCTTATATTCTCAACAACCAAGTCACGCTATATCGGGTTACTATCCTACACCCCGTCTATAGTAGTCAACATTACCCCAAAAAGGGAAAACAACATTCTTGAGCCAGACAATAATCTAGGTTATTTTACAACTTAAGAGTCCCAAATTCCCCCCGCCCCCCAATAGGGATAAGCAGGAAAATTTATCTATATGCAGATAGAGCAGCATCACATTGACAATTTATACAGTCATTCGTCTATTAACATATAAAACCGAACTCTCCAAGGAAATCAATCGATATCAATCTAAAGCCAGAGAATTTACAAGTGTCATCAGGAAGCAGTGGTGGGTGAGGGAGTGAGAAAGAGAAGGAAAGAGAGAGAACCTGAACGGAAATGGAGGAGCAATTAAGGTGAGAAGGGAAGAGAGAGGAGCTTGCTTAAATAGAAGAATCGATGATACGATGAGAAGGTGGTGGTTGATTCAGTTACGAAAGGAACTATTTCTGAATTTTTGGACGGAAACAAAAACGAACCGAATATTGAGAAGGGAAGATGCGAATCGGCCACGAATCTTCCACCATCACCACGCGCATATTCGCAGCCCTCTGGCCCAACCCCTGCTCCGTCACCATATTGGTTTATTTATTACTATTTTTTTATTTTTTTAGTTGAATAATTTGAATAAATTAAAAAAAATTTATCACGTTAATTATTTATAATAAATTATTTTTTTATGAAATATTTTATTTGTATAATTATTATAAAAACTACTTCGAAAAAAATCAATAAATAAGAGACAAAATGAATTAGAATCTTATATTTAGAACCAAATTAAATATCACACTAGTTCTTATATTAAAGATCGAATGTACCATTAGTACATTCATGTAATTTACTACTCCAAATTCTAATCCAAAAATACCTATTTAAAAAATTAATTATTCAATAATTTCCGGATTAAAGTTATATATTTTTAGAAACAAAAAGCATCGTTACTCTGAATGTCTCGTGTTTTATTAAAATCATTTACTTAAATGAGCTATACCGCGTTCATGTTATTTGTGACGTCTCATTTATATGGATTAGTAAGTTATTATGGTTAACAATTTTTCAACCGTAAAAGAGACAGAAGTATTAAAAAGCTTTTGTTTTACAAAATATATAATATACAATTTTTTTTGGGTAGACAGGCATAATCTTATTTATAAGTAAAGGATGTCTGAAATTTTAAACAATTATTATCATTTTTAAGCACAATTTATACGTTGTTATGTCACTGCAATAGTTAAACAACTGTCTCTCACCTCTTTTTCTCGCTCATTTTCTATTCTCCCACTCAATCTCTCCATAAATAAAGATAATTTTAGAAAAATATTTTTTGTACATATTTATCACCTTTTAATTAACTTTTTAATTTACATAAATTGGTTCATTGTATCATATATACATATATACTTGTATACATATATATAAGGCTACAACAAGTATAATGTTAATGAGAAGGACTAAGTTTTCCACATCAAAATATTTTCTTTATTTTCCCATGCTAAAAGATACTTAAATACTTAATGGCACAAAGGCTTTGTCTCAGCCCAGTTCAAGAAGGCACAAAGCCTGTGTTTGTGTCCCGCGCCAAATACATTCGAAAAAAGTGTTTGCATTGGGCCTACTTTAAGATGCCCGCGGCATCTGTTTGAGTCTGTTCAAGAAGGATGATACCAGGGAAGTTGGATCTATTAAAGGAAACTAATATCTTTAGCAAATTACGATTTAAATTCCTATTGCCAACATAAATTTATCTAATGGTAAGAAGTTTGCTCATAATTTATAAAATCATAAGTTTAAATCCTGCTACCAATATGATGATCTTATTAGTAGATGATTTGTAAGTACTAAATGAGTCTGGAGCCATGTACTGACCCTGGTAAGCCCGAAGGCTAATTCATCTAAATTTTTTTGTTAAAAAAAAAATTCCCATTGGGAGAAATATCCATATTTAATATCTGACAGTGGCTCGAATATGATTTGTCTTCAATAAAAAGAGACTTGTAGCGTGGCCAAAAAAGCCGTGAACGATGATGCAAAAACTGCTGTAAAACTTCTTACACTGGTTATAATTTAAACGGGCGTGGAAAGACAAATAAAATTAAGGAATTTGTTTTACTTACTTTATACATGGTCTGCACCAGTTGAAAGAACACATATGTAACAGTCCTCACCTATAGGATTACCAGAGATGATTTTAGAACTTGGTTTCGGGGAGTTGCAGGATATTGTGATACTGTAACACACTTCAAACAGAACTTAGAGATCATTTATCTGATTTTGACCAAAAAACAAATTAGAAAAAAGAGATTATTTATGTGATTGGGGAATCTGCCACGGCAATTTATCTTCCATGTCTATAAAGAAGCAAACTATTCGGCCTCCCTTCTCGTCCAAAAAGCGTTGACACTTCACTTGGATCTTCTCCAAAGGTCCGTTTGGATCAGCGATTGAAAAAGCAGCTTATTGAAAAAGTAGCTTATGGAAAAGTGAAATTGGGTAAAAGTTAAATTGGATAAGCTGAATTGTGTTTGAATTGGAGTTTAGAAAAGTTAGCTTGTAAAAGTGAGATTGGTAAAAGATTGTTTGAATTATGATTGAGTAAAAGTAAGTTTGGTTGTAAAATGACCAAAATAGATATGAGTTTTAATAAATAACAAAACATGATTAAAAAATGATTTCACATAATATAATGAAATTAAAATAATTTAATATGAAGAAGTCATAAAAAATATTTTACATATAAAGTGAAACGTGAAAGAATAAAAGTATATTTTTAGGAGCATATTTAAAAATAAAAGTATACTTCTAACTTATTTATTACTTTCAACTAATTTTAACTGATTTTTACAAATTAGTTATTTGAGGCTTATAATAAGAACCAAATGAGGTAATAAATTTCTTAACTTTTTCTCTCTCCATATTTCAAAAGTCATAAGCTATAAGCTATAAGCTATAAGCCATAAGCTGTTAATTTTAGCTTATAGCTTATTGCAGCTTTTTATACAGAAGCCCGATTGCAAAAAAAGCCAAACCAAACACTCAAAATTTTCCAATCGGACTTATAGTGAAAATAAGCTGCTTATAAGTGATGCCAAACAGGCACTTAACTTTGCAACATCCAATTTCCCCCTTTTTAGCAGTAATTAGTTTAATTAATTGAGGTTAGATCATGGCTTTAATGGGTATGATCATTGGGTTGTCTGAGGTTTAGGAAATAACTGAGATAGTGTTAATTTGTTAGAAAATAGGATTCTTTCTTTCTTTTAAAAAAAAATCAAAGGGCAGGTACTAATAGCTTAATATTACAATCATGCCACTAGCAAAAATAGGATTCTTTCTCTTCAACCGCTTAGTATCGCATTTAATTTGATTAAGGTATACAATGCATGTGCATGTGTGCGAGGGCAGATACACCGGACACAATTTCAAGCCATTATCTGATTTTATAACACAGAAAGGTACGACGTCCAAGGACTTTAGAAAACCTTACTAAAGTAAAGAATTATAAGAAGGTTCCAGGAATCAAGGTCAAGATCATGTGACTACACCCATAAGATTAGGAACAACCCACCAACGTTCTCTCTCTCTCTCTCTCTCTCTCTCTGAGTAGCTCTTCTTAACGCTCTCATCAGAATTATCCAAAACACTCTCATGCTTCTTCTTCATCATCTCCAGTGAACAGCAATGATAGGTTTTGCAGCAGAAAGGGAAAGAGCAAGAGAAAGAAGGATTTCTATAAGTAATTACAAAGCTGCAATTTTCTTCTTGTGGCTCATCCTACTTTGTTCTCTTCTGAGTTTCTTCTTCTCCTCCATTCACAATGAACAACGCAGTAGCCCCACCAGCATCAGAAGCAGAAGCAGAAGCAGAATCAGCCATTATTCAACAAGACGACCATCATCAGAACGACGTAGTTTCATCAGCAGAGCTTTCTTTCACCATGCACCTTCCTCAAGCCCCCCAACTGATCAAGCTCATCTTTCTGGAGCTAAAACCACCAGCGTCAATGGCGGTTCAGAAACCATCTATGAAGATAGCAAAAGAGTCATTCACACTGGTCCAAATCCTCTTCATAATTAGTACAGGAAGGCTTTCGCATTCAAGTAGCACTGCAGATTAATTATATATCAGTGTAAGAACTATATTTTTCCCTTACATATTGTGGATTCATTAGGAAGAAGGAAAAATGAGAGAGAAATGAGGAGGAAGCTGAGGTACTAGCTAGATATAGGGCTAATGCTGATCTCCTTTTTTCTTTAGCAGAAACTATGATGATTTCTCTTCCTTTCTGTGCCAAATCTTCTGTTCAAATCTGAAAAAATCGTGCTTCAGTTTATTTCCAAGTACCTGTATGTAGTATTCTATTTCATCAGCTTTTTTCTTATTTTCTTGTTCTTCTTCTTCTTCCAGTCTTCGGACATGTTTTACGGCCATGCGCCTGCTCTTTATTTACTACCAGGGTACAACGCATTCATTATTCATATACTTTCTGGTTGAACCGTGCCAAAGATTTTCTCATAGAAATAAAGTCTTCTGCATGTTAAAATATATTCAACTTTTAAAAAAAGATGCTACATATTATAATTATTTTAAAGGATGCTAGTTATTATTATCAAGTTTTACTACAGTATAACTGTGTGATGTGAGATTAGATTAATTAGAGTGACTTCATTTCAAAGATATTGATTATATATACTACTTGCGATCCTTAATATAAGATCCTGTTTGATTTTTATTTTGATCCTAAATATAAAACTCCAATCCACTTTGTTTCTCATGTTTATACATTTTTTTTTCAAAGTAACCCTTTTAATAATGATAGTTCTAGTCAATACACTTTATTAGTAAGGATATTTTAGAAAAAACAACACATATTTAGGACAAATAACTAATTCAACTTATATTTTTAATCTCCTCAAATTAGTTAACTGGTTTTTATAATTAGTATCGTAGTAGTATAAATCAGATATATAAAGATATTTAATTCACTGCTTCTCATGGTCTGTTATGCCTTGGCTTCTGCAGTCTGCAAAAACCCAGAAAAGGAGAAAAGATTAAAAAAGGGTCAAATAAAGAACGTATTTATTACGTGTCCAAATTCAGAGTACGTAGCCCTCTATTTATGGTGTTACCTACAAACATGTACAAACTCGCAGTGTAAACAAGACATTGCAACTGTTCCTTTTCAGGTGCATGGCAGTGGATTGGCTCATGAATAATGATAGAAAGTTTAAATTTAGAAGAAGAAATTACTGTAAAGTCTTGAGGAAAAAAAATATAATTATGAAAAAATTATCAGTTTACAAATTAGCAACATGAAGCTTGTGTTATTATTTTTTGTAATGGAACTTATTTAGCAATTAAACCCAATCATACTCAAATTTGACCTGATGGATAATGTGCAAAATAATCTTCCGGTTCTAAATATAAAATCCATTTAATTACACTACAAAATAGATCTTATATTTAGGACTGGATGAGTAATAAATAAACTACTATTTTTCCCACAATAATTAAAAAAGACTACT